CTCCAAAAGGTAATGAATGCTTTATTCTATATGAAGCCTCTCATTCTATCATTATATTGGCTGTGTGGCTTAGGCCCCTTCTTAAAAAAGAACTAATGTAAAGCATACTGTGTCCATAATAAGTACATGGGCCACAGGTTGAGAGCCCCTGTGAAATAACACATACATCCATTTAAAACATAGTCATATACTGCATGGCTATATTCCTAATTTAAGCATGCATCTGGATTATAAAATATCAAACGTGTTTATTATATTTTACCTTTGGCATCTCCCTACATTTGCCTTAATGATACATAAAATCATTCTATAATGGCACCACAACAAACCTGCCAAAAGAGGGCCGCCTACCAAAACTCACAGACCAGGCAAGGAGGGCGTTAATCAGAGAGGCAACAAAGAGACCAAAGATAACCCTGAAGGAGCTGCAAAGCTCCACAGCGGATATTGGAGTATCTGTCCATAGGACCACTTTAAGCCGTACACTCCACAGAGCTGGGCTTTATGGAACAGTGGCCAGAAAAAAGCCATTGCTTAAAGAAAAAAATAAGCAAACAGGTTTGGTGTTCACCAAAAGGCATGTGGGCGACTCCCCAAACATATGGAAGAAGGTACTCTGGTCAGATGAGACAAAAATTTAGCTTTTTGGCCATCAAGTAAAATGTTATGTCTGGCGCAAACCCAACACCTCTCATCACCCCGAGAACATCATCCCCACAGTGAAGCATGGTGGTGGCAGCATCATGCTGTGTGGATGTTTTTCATCTGCATGGACTAGGAAACTGGTCAGAATTGAAGGAATGATGACTGGCTCTAAATACAGGGAAATTCTTGAGGGAAACCTGTTTCAGTCTTCAAGAGATTTGAGACTGGGACGGAGGTTTACCTTCCAGCAGGACAATGACCCTAAGCATACTGCTAAAGCAACACTCGAGTGGATTAAGGGGAAACATTTAAATGTCTTGGAATGGCCTAGTCAAAGCCCAGACCTCAATCCAATTGAGAATATGTGGTATGACTTAAAGATTGCTGTACACCAGCAAAACCCATCCAACTTGATGGAGCTGGAGCAGTTTTGCCTTGAAGAATGGGCAAAAATCCCAGAGGCTAGATGTGCCAAGCTTATAGAGACATACTCCAAGAGACTTGCAGCTGTAATTGCTGCAAAAGGTGGCTCTACAAAGTTTTAACTTTGGGGGGGTGAATAGTTATACACGCTCAAGTTCTGTTTTTTTGTCTTATTTCTTGTTTGTTTTACAATAAAACATATTTTTGCATCTTCAAAGTGGTAGGCATGTTGTGTAAATCAAATGATACAAACCCCCCAATAAATCAATTTTAATTCCAGGTTGTAAGGCAACAAAATAGGAAAAATGCCAAGGGGGGTTAATATTTTCGCAAGCCACTGTACATGTATTCTGAGGTGACCATATAATGAATGTTCAGCTCTCATGCCACCAATTACAAATGTAACTTGCACAGCCACTTGCTAGCATTATCAATCTATTATTAGTTTACCTGAGCGTATGATGGGCTTTCAGATGTTCAAGGTCGGCTGTCTCCTCCCGTGGAAACGTTGAATTCGGTCTTGTTTGAATCTACACGATAAAAAATGTCTTTAAACGTTTCTCCCTTTTTGACTGGGTGGTGGATCGACATATCTCAGGACTATTTCCTGTTGAGACAATAAACTTAAGACAAACATGGAGCCGACAGTTTCTTCTGACACAAGGTTATTTACATTTCTGATCATTCTTAGTTTATTCTTGATACATTGCTATCTTGTTTTGGATTTTATATATTTTATATAAGACTTCAAACCATACAGAAGGGTCAACAGAAGCTCTGCCCTGTGAGAATCGCAGGAGATAAAGTGGTACTGCAGTCTGACTTTGCTCTCACATACCCAGCGCAGCCCTGATACTCTGCACTCATAAAAGCCTGGGTAAGACTCAAGTCTGGAAGAAAGGAATGTGAATGAGGTAACCAAAACATGAAATGATTCAGTTGAACCTTTTATCAAATCAAATCAAACCAAATTGTATTGTATTGGTCGCAAACACATATTTAGCAGATGTTATTGCGGGTTTAGCAAAGTGCTTGTGTTCGTAGCGCCAACAGTGCAGTGTGATGGGATGTATAGACATTATGGACAGTATGTGGATAGAATAGTTGATATGATGTGGGTATGAGGCCATTTCATAAGATATTGTGTGGAACTAGGTTAAAGTTAGTAGTGAGGAGTGATTCTTGATGCCACTAAGTCTGTGGTAGTAAATTCCAATCTGTCCAAGGAGGATAGTGGGGTTTATATTAGAATGATGGACGGATGGAACATCCTGCTTGGGAGTACAAGGTCATGACATAGAAGGGGTAGTGATCATTGATGATTGCCAGATGTTGGTCAAGGAATGTGTAACCTAGTGTATATAAACTGACAGAAGTCTGAGTGTGCTCAGTTCAGAATGGCAAGAGGCAAAGCACTGTCATTTTGTTATGCGAACCATGGTACCTATTAAATACTTATATGAACTCCCCACATAAGTGTCTAAATATATTCTTACATCCTCAATTCTCAATAACAGAAACTCATCATAACAATAGTATATGTACAGCAATAGTTGAATAGGATGGCCTTGACTAGAATACAGTATATACATATGAAATGGGTAAAACCATATGTAAACATTTTTAAGGTGATCAGTGTTCCATTATTAAGGTGACCAGTGTTCCATTATTAAGGTGACCAATGTTCCATTATTAAGGTGAGCAGTGTTCCATTATTAAGTGACCAGTGTTCCATTATTAAGGTGACCAGTGTTCAGTTATTAAGTGACCAGTGTTCCATTATTAAGGTGACCAGTGTTCCATTATTAAGGTGATCAGTGTTCCATTATTAAGTGACCAGTGTTCCATTATTAAGGTGACCAGTGTTCAGTTATTAAGGTGACCAGTGTTCCATTATTAAGGTGACCAGTGTTCCATTATTAAGTGACCAGTGTTCCCTTATTAAGGTGGCCAGTGTTAAATTATTAAGGTGATCAGTGTTCCATTATTAAGTGACCAGTGTTCCACGTCTATGTACTGTACATATGGCAGCAGACGCTAAGATGCAGGGATGAGTAACTGGGTGGTAGCAGTCTAGTGACAGTGACTCATTTCAGGGCAGGGTACTGGGTGGAGTCTGATGGCCTTGAGATAGAATCTGTTTTTCAGTCTCTGTCCCAGCTTTGATGCACCCATACTGATCTCGCCTTCCGGATGATAGCGGGGTGAACCCGAAGGCGAGGTCAGTACAGGTGCAATACATTGGTGTATTGATGTGGCCAATTTCAGTCAGTTACACAGGCCTGATTTATATGTAATGTCAGATATCTGCTACTGTGTATCCCAGCTGTAATTCACAACAGGAAGTTAAATGCAAGGCTTCCTAATCGTTCTCCAAATGCAGCCTTATTTTGAACTACTATCTCAACCGGTGTTCTTTTCTCCTTCTAACGTCCACTAAATGCATATAAACTAACACGTAACTTTCTCAGAAAAAGAAGAGAAAGACAAATAGAAGACTCCTTCGGGGGTTTTGATAAAATAACGGGCAACTTTTAGTTTCACTTCCAGTGTTAGCAGTGGTCTAGTCCAGTTCAGACTATAGAATATAGTGGAGTATAGCCACTTGGCCTGATCAGTTCTGACCCGAGATGTGTAGTTTAGTAACAGAAGAGGGAAATTTGGACTTTTCAACATAATATCATTTTGTGGAACATGGCAAGCACCTCTTCGTGTTTTCTTAGGTATTGTTACCTTGGTTGTGACATTTAAAATCCAATTTCCAGTTGTAGCTGAATTACAAAGCAGTTCAATGCTTGTTTTGTAATCTGGTTGAAAGTAACTGAGGTATTTATCTGTATTTGATGCTTGAAATTCTAGCCGATCACTCAAAGCAACCAATAGGTTAGCAAATATATATACATATTTTAGTAATCACTCTTATCCAGAGCAACTTACAGTAAGTGAGTGCATATATTTTTCTTTGTATTGGTCCACCGTGAGAATTGAACACACAACCTTGGTGTTGCAAGCGCCATATTTTACCAACTGAACCACAAGGGCTAGAATAATACATTCATTTTAGCACTCTAAAGAAATGGTATCATTTCAGTTTAGTCTAATTTAAAATCAGGACAAAAGCCACATCTGTAGGTAGGTATTTATTTCAATACATATTCTAATACCTGTGTTGTGAAAATGATGTCACAAATCATTCAGTACTTTAAAACGTTTCATTAGGCTGGAACATAAAGCTTTACAAAGTCATATCTTCATATATTTATTTACATCACTAGTATTCCTTACCCTCACTGACTTGTCATTCATAAAATAGCAGAAATTAAATCATTTCATTGTCCTTTGCATCATCGTTTCATTATATATTTTTCTATTGTCATAAAATATTTCCTTTATATATTTTCTTGTCTGTAAATGATCCAGAGCATCTAGGTTACATGGTTGAGCATTTATCTTCCAACCCAACTTTATATTTTTGGCAAAGTTTCTAAGCTAAAACGTTAAGTTGCTTTTCTGCTGGCTACTAATATTTACATGTGGAAAAATAAGAATGATAAAATAATGATGCTATACTCCTCAGTTGTAAATGAGAACTTGTTCTCAACTGGCTTACCTGGTTAAACAAAGGTGAAATAAATAAATAAATAAAAATATTGTGTTTTCTTGTAAACACACAGAAATAAAACAAAGTGTAACTGCAATCATTCATGCCCTTTTCTTAAAACTTAAAATGCCCCCAATTCACCATTCCAGCTCCTCATTCACCCTTCAGGTCTTGGATTAGCAATGGCTCCAGCTCCCTCAGTGGTCCGGTGAAGAGCTCCCCTCATCTGGTCCTTTGTGGTGCGTTCAGCCAGTACTGTACTTTAGCCCTCGTCAGTGATGACTCTCTTGGCCAGGAATTTATCCAAGATGGGCTTCACCTGGCTCACTCTCTAGATCAGGTCTGTCCGGTGGAAGTCCACAAAGTGCTGGTCTGAGGTCTGAGGTAAAGATTGGTTGCAGAACAACTGCATTTAAACACGATGACATTCACAAATGTAATACACAAAAACGAAATAAAAAAATATGATAAATTGTGCTGAAGCTTGGATGATACGGAAGAGTATTAGGGCCAAGTGAAGAGAAAAATTAAATAAAACGGCAACAGGTGGTGGTACTTGGATGTTGTTGTTTTTTTGTATGGTAGTACTTTAAAAAAGTGGCAATATTTCGAGAATAAAGTGGCAATATTTCGAGAATTAAACCGACATTCAATTTCGTGAATAAAGTGGCGAAATTTCGAGTTTAAAGAGGCAATATTTCGAGAATAAACTCTAAATGTAATTTCGAGAATAAAGTCAACATTTTGAGTATAAATTTAGTTACATTTATATTTCAAGGGGATTTGGTTAACTGCATGTCTCCCTGGCTCCCTATTGCTGTGCACGCCACCATTGAAATACCTGCAGTTTGATGACCTGGTGAAACTATACTTTAGAATTGACTTTAGTAACAAGGAAATCCTTTCTCTTTTAGCACATAATAACCATATTATTATAAGTAGGCCTATTAGCACCTGCAGGAGGTTGTGCCATAGATTATTTTCAGAAGGAGGAACCACACGGAATTGGATGAGGTGTTTTATCCCAATCTGTGTGTTTACATACATAGGTAGAGACAGTTGTGTGTGTATGCTGGTGTATGTGTGGATGGAGGTTCGGGGAGGTCTAATACACTCGTTCAAACAGGCGTCACACACACACACACACGGTATCCCCAAAGCATTACCATTCTAACGGCCATGGTGCGTTGTCAGACTGCGAAGAGAAATGGAGTTGCGTGCATCAGTCCCTGTCATGGTGCCCTTCGAATTCGCTACAATGTTATCCTCAATCCCCTGCGTATGTCAACACCCGTGCATCGTATCTTAGAGAGTAACAGCTAGGCCAGCAGCCTTTATGTCGAAATGAAAGGTTAACTTACAAATGTGTACGTAATGGCATGGTGTTTTATGTAGGCTACACATCCAATGTAGTAGTGTCATAGGCCTATACTTATTATCTTGTGAATGTAGGTCAATGATTGCGTGGAGAAGGATTGCGCGTCCCTGTCAGACTCAAGGGCTGCCCCCAAAACCCTGTCATGGAGCTTGCATATCCACGGGGCAGGGGGGCAGGGGTTTGGGTAAACCCCCATCTGAGACAGTCATTTTTCGTTCCATTTACTATAACTAACAGCCAACAGGTCTAGGCACTAGCCTCTACAAGGTGAACAAGTGCTAGTCTAAGTTTGCGGTATAGCTGCAACATATAGCCTGTAACGGCGATGATGCCCCTGTTTTGGGATAACCTGTGCATCCTTCATTCCTCCCATTGAAGACATCGCTGATAGATGAATAGTGAAATAATTTAATACGCTATAGGCTACAAACCAAGTCATGTCAGATCAGTGATTATTTATTTACAGCCTATCATCATTATCTAATAGGCCTATATTTAGATCAATGATTATTTCAAGAAAGGGAGAATCCAGCCATGAATCAAAGCGCCTCAGATTAGCTCGTTTGCGCATGCACTAGCGGTCCTGGAGTTGCCTCTCCTGGCTGCTCCCACAGACACTTGCGTAAAACCCCTGCTTCATTGTTCATTCATCCCACAGCCGTTGGATAGGCCTATCATTTACTTTAATTTGCCCACTGTAAGGTACCATTAGCCTACATGTTAGGCTACTCAATATATAGGTTCATAATGGACTGCAAAATAGCGGTGTTGTAGCGGATTTGGAGAGCAGCGCTTACATTTTTACATTTTAGTAATTTAGCAGACGCTCTTATCCAGAGCGACTTACAGTTAGTGAGTGCATACTTTTTTTTATATACTTTTTTTTTTCATACTGGCCCCCCGTGGGAATCAAACCTACAACCCTGGCGTTGCAAGCGCCATGCTCTACCAACTGAGCTACACGGGACCTTAATTTGATCCGGCCCCTCTCAGTTTTGGACTGTTTTGTTCCGGAACCCATTTGCCAGGATCCGTTACCTCTTGTGGCATGAACAATTATTTTCACTGTTTGCAATGTACAAATTCTAATAAAAATCAGAGTTAATTCAAGTTGCCTGCGCTGCAATTCTCCTACCCCCTAAAAAAGTAATGTGAAAACATGCCTGATACTCTAAGAATTGATTTGTGTTGGGCCAGCCAGGGTTTATGGTTTGCGCAACATTGTAGCCTAGACTAACGCTTGGCCACTGCTGTGGTGAGAGAAGCGTGCCTGTATCTCTCACCGAACTAGAATGAGATTAACTTTCTATTATCTGTCTCCCTTGATCTGCTCTGATAGACATGAGCCTGCAACTCATCTCTCCAGCGTTGCACTTCATCATGTATTTCCCTATAGAATCATAAGCGCGGAAGGGTGCTGGATTTTTTTTATTGGTTATTGGCTTTGCTGGTATGCATCCAAACATTTTGGAGTTTGCCCCACCAAGATTTACATGCTAAAATCGCCACTGCCACCCACATAGGCCTAAGCTATTGATGGATTCAAGAAAAAAAGTTTTTATTGATCTCAGATTCTCAGTTTGTAAGTGTCAAAGTAGCCTGTAATTTCGATCATTTGTGAGGTATTATAAAAGAGTCTGCTAAAGTCTCCAGTCATCTAAAATTATGTCGAATTGCATGAAATACATCTATAAAAGGCCACATTTCACCTGAACCCAAGGCTTTAAAAAAATGTGTACACATCTGTGCAACTTCTACAAGCAGCTCTACCCTACTGCTGTATGCCAGCACACAAAAGTGATGATAATGCATACAATGCTTTATTATAAAAGTGGGTGCTTTATTATTTAAAAAAATATATAGGTCACCCCCCTCTCGCGCTCACTTTTTGTTCTGGCACCTTACAATTTTACAAATGTAGCACTGCTGCTTTCTAAGAGTGCAGCTGCCAGCTGTGAAACTGGAGCTAAATGTAGGATTTCCCAAACATATTTTTTTATATTCATGAATACAGAGCACATTCAACATAGGTGGTGTTGTAGATGTTCTACTACTATTGTACACTATAAAGACTGTAACAAACATTAACTCACCATCACATTGGCACATCTTGTTCAACTTCTCACAGCCCCTGGGGACAGACACATCAATCAGAAAATCAACCACATCAAGCACTTGTAAGGTTCTGTATTTATTTTCTTAGTCAACCTTGTGTTCTTGAACGTAGCCCTGTTTCACCTGTATTTGTTACTCACCTGGTCTCATTATCTCCTTATTTAGTTCAGTTCATTCTGTTTGTGCCTTGTGAGGTATAGTTCGTTTTGACTCTACTAAGACTTTTCCTAGCTCGTTTGTGAGAACCAGTTATTGCCTTCAGTCCTAGTTTGTGTTTCACCTGCCTGTTTGCCTACCTGTGTATGATCATTGCCTGCCTGTGACCATGATTCCTACGACATAAACACCTGCCGCGCTCTGCGCGTGAATCTACACCTTTTTCTTCCTGAGTATTCATTACAGCACTAAACTCAATGATAATACAGTGGTCTTAATTTCCTGGTACACAAAGCATTTTAAATTCAATGATATCACAAATATCATAACAATGATATTTAGTGCTAACAATGATCTCCTTTGAGATTACTTAAAAATGCTCCCAGCGTCACTGTTTCCCCTGTGTAGATTGGTGGGTTGGACGCTCGTGTCACTATATTGTGTATTCGCATATTAAAATATCAAGAACTTGAACATGAGTGAGAGAATATAGACATGAAAATTAGAACATTTGAATTAGAACTGTCTTACCGTCTTTCATTGATTTGATGTCAGGTACTTCCAACTTTTTACGAGGCTCCTCCTCTTTAATCCTATCTGAATGGGATGGGTAGTGGATGCCATAGGCCACAGGACCTCTTATGGTGAAGCCAAGGTAGAAGCAGACGTCTCCGGACATCCAAACTTTGCTTTGTTGGTAGGCACAAACTTCAATCTCCTTGCCATCAACGCACGCAAACACCCTGTGCTGTCTAACCACTCCATTGACTGGAAGAAGAAGATCCTGGACAACGGGTTCTCTCCACACCTCACCACTGTTCCACTTTTTAGTGATAAAGTCTTGCCTTGCCTTTGGCCTAGCCATTGGATTCTCCCTTGCCAATAGGTTGTCTATTTTTGAGCTATGAACCAGTCTGCTCAAACCCTCACCCTTTGCCAGGAAAATAAGGGGGCGAAGGTACCTTGAGCGAAGATACTTCTTGTATGTGTTTTCGTAGGAGTCTTGCATCTCCAGAACATGTTTGTTGAGGTCAATATCGAAATCCATTTTCTTATGTTCCTCGGGCCAATACAGCAAAAGGACTAAGAAGTAAAACTCTGGGGTTTGGTTACCGAAATTGGCCAATAGATGTCTTTCCAGAATACGTCTTAGGATTGGCAAAGGGGTAAGCACTGGAGATGCTGCTTCCACTTTGCTTAAGATGATGTTGGCAAGGATGAAGTTTTGGGCAGCTTTGTTGTCACCAACTTTCTTTTTTTCCCATTCTTTTTTTATTTCCTCCCACAATATTGTTATTCGGCGCAAGTGAGTTTTATCATAGCCCTTATCAAGACAGGAAAGCAGTCCAGGGAAGGCAATGGCCATTTCTTCTTTGAGTTTCTGGAGGGGTATACCTATTGCAAACTCTGAGTGTATAGGTGTGCATGTCCCCACATATTTGCGGTAGCAGTTCTTGACATCAGTCCAAAAGTAAGGCGGTTCATTTTTCTCTATGCTGGGCTTGGAGTAAATCAGGTAACCATCAAAAAACTCACATATCCTCTCCACCTCATCCCTGAGGCTGCTGATGAGTGACTTGTACTTGAAGAGCTTTTTTTGTCCAATTGATATGAAGAAGGAGTCAGCTGATATTTCCATGGTAAGAACCTTTTGCCAGTGTTTGTCAAGAGAGACAAGCGAGTCAAAAACAATGTTGGCAACCTGTAGATAACCAAATAGTCCTCTGTTGTTAAAGATGCTTGACACTTTGGTCATACCATCGTCTTGCATGTCTGCTCCCTGCTCATTTTCAGCAGCCCTTTCCTCATCTTTGAAAGCCTCAAAGGCCTTTTTTGACAGTTGCAAAATGTCTTGTGCAGAGATGGAACCCTGCTCTTCAGGAACCTTGAAGGAACCCTGCTCTTTAGGGACCCTGATGGAACCCTGCTCTACTTTGATCCTGCTCTTCAACTGGTTCTTGTATACTTGCCCCAGTGTGTCAGCAACAAATGAACTCTTAGGATCTCTGTCTTTCGCTATCTTTGCCCACTTCACCGCTTTAAGATAGTCTCTTGTCTCAATGTAAAAAAAACGAGCAAGATTTTGAGGAAAAAATGGGTTTTGCATGAATTTCTCTGAAGCTAAACGTAAAACAGATACACACTTGCTTTTGGATTCTTTGCCTTCAATATCTTGAATCAACCTGGAAAACTTGTCTTTCCTCTCATCTCCCATTTCCCTTTTTGTTAGCATGTCTTGAACTAAAAATTGTTGCACATCTTCTCTACAAAATTCTGACAGAAAGTTCCTTGCTGTATCACTCCTGGTCACACCTGCCGTAGCGAGTACCTTAACACACTGCTGTGCAATCAGTGGGTGAGCCATGCGGACATGTTTGTCTTGTCCCTGTCGTGCAGGGAATGTCACTATCAGATGAGTGAAAGGCTCCATTCGCTGCTCAAAGGAAGGACCTCCGTAAATGGGATCTGGAGGTCCAAGGAATGCCTGACATTGAGATTGCAGAAGGTGGGAGCCAGGGACGTAGGCATTCACCAGTGATAAGAATGCAAGAAGCTGGGAATTTTTAGGTCTTCTATTTTTCCTAACATCTCCTAAAAGGGCACATGTTTTACTAACATAATCTCCACGAAAATGTTCTCGTATTATGTTAAAGCCATGAAACAGTTTGTGTTCATTGCTGTATCTTCGGCTGATCTCAATCTGTTTCTCCTCAAACTGTTGTTTCTCTGCTTCAGAAAGTTCCATCCTGAGAATAACATGTCTTGAGTTGTTATGGTCCTCTTGTTTGATAACTGCCTTACGTACACAGTTTAGAATGATGACCACAGGCTTGTGGGTCGTGATGTTTCTCTCTGCAATCTCTTTAATGATGGCATCCTGCAGATTCTCCAGAATACGCTCATCTTCCAGCATTAAGAGCACAGTGGTCTGGTTGCGTTGACTGCCTGCAGTGAAAAGGTGAATCACCTGCTTGGCGATAGCGGTGATGTCTGAGGTAGGGCCTGTCAGAACAGCACATCTGAGCTTTTTACGCATATCCCAGAGCACCTGCTTGGCCATAGTGGTTCCCCCGCTGCCTGGCTGATGCAGCAGCTTGATGGTAGAAGTGAGGTCTCTCTTACGCCGTTTCTGAATATTTTTTATCAGCTCACTGTAACCGTCTCTTTTGATAAAGGGGGTTGTTTTATCAACTGACGTTGCCCTTTCATCCCAGTAGAAGTTAAGCCATTGAGGTGGGGCTCCTCTGTAAAAATCTGCCTCTGTCTTCTTAGCTACTGCTGAGTCTATGTCCTCTTCTTCAAATTCATTTGCGTACAAAACATCCAGAAGTGAAATGGAATCCCTGAATTCCCTTCCAACATAAATTTCACGACCTCTGGCATTGGACAGTAATGAACCCTTATTGTTTGCCATCTTTATTGTCTCCCGTCCCAAGCTGAACCAGTTTTCTGAATATTAGTTGTTATTCATGTTGTGGCATGGACTCTGAAAAAGAAGGCAATAATGTTTCAGTAAGAATGTTGAAGGTCATTAACAGTTATAAATAAAAAGGCTGATTACAGTATATATTTGACATTGTTGGACTTTAATTTATATAGCTAATAGATTGGTTGGATTTTTCTACTGACATTGCATTCTGCTGATGAATACAAACTGTGTGTTTTGCTTCTTGTTGCTACCCTCTGATAAAAAAAAATGTCATCACTTTGGTGCAATTTTCACTAGAATGTGGTTTATTTTCACAACTTTTAGCACACAAATTAAAACAGATGTTTCAATTGACGGAGTACAACAAATAAATGCACAAAGTTACATGTTCCCTGCACCAAATCACTCAAACAAATTATTATATATATATATGTATATATACACACTACCAGTCAAAGGTTTGAACACACCTACTCACTCAAGGGTTTTTCTTTATTTTTTACTGTTTTTTACATTGTAGAATAATATTGAAGACATCAAAACTATGAAATAACACATAAGGAATCATGTAGTAAACACAAAAGTTTACAAATCAAAGTATATTTTATATTTGAGAATCTTCAAATAGCCACCCTTTGCCTTGATGAAAGCTTTGCACACTCTTGGCATTCTCTCAACCAGCTTCACCTGGAATGCTTTTCCAACAGTCTTGAAGGAGTTCCCACATATGCTGAGCACTTGTTGGCTGCTTACAGACAGTGTCACCTGCAAAGCACCCCCACACCATAACACCTCCCCCTCCATGCTTTACGGTGTGAAATACATATGCGGAGATAATCCGTTCACCCACACTGCGTCTCACAAAGACATGGCAGTTGGAACCCAAAATCTCCAATTTGGACTCCAGACCAAAGGACACATTTCCACCAGTCTAATGTCCATTGCTCGTGTTTCTTGGCCTAATCAGGTCTGTTATTCTTATTATTGGTGTCCTTTAGTAGTGGTTTCTTTGCAGAAATTCGACCACGAAGGCCTGATTCACACAGTCCCCTCTGAACAGTTGATGTTGAGATGTCTGTTACTTGAACTCTGTGAAGCATTTATTTGGGCTGCAATTTCTGAGGCTGGTAAATCTAATGAACTTATCCTCTGCAGCAGAGTTAACTCTGGGTTTTCCATTCTTGTCGCTGTCCTCATGAGAGCCAGTTTCATCATAGCACTTGATGGTTTTTGCGACTGCACTTGAAGAAACTTTCAAAGTTCTTGAAATGTTCCGTATTGACTGACCTTCATGTCTTAAAGTAATGATGGACTGTCGTTTCTCTTTGCTTATTTGAGCTGTTCTTGCCATCATATGGACTTGGCATTTTACCAAATAGGGCTATCTTCTGTTACCCCCCCCCCCCCCCCCCCCCCCCCCCCTTAAAATTAACTTTTAAGAAGACACACCTGTTAATTTAAATGCATTCCAGGTGACTACCTCATGAAGCTGGTTGAGAGAATGCCAAGAGTGTGCAAAGCTGTCATCAAGGCAAAGGGTGGCTATTTGAAGAATCTCAAATATAAAATATATTTTCATTTGTTTAACACTTTTTTGGTTACTACACGATTCCATGTGTTATTTCATAGTTTTGATGTCTTCACTATTATTCTACAATGTAGAAAATAGTAAAAATAAAGACAAACCCTTGAATGAGTAGGTGTTACCTGAGTGCCAAGTCTAGGTCCAAAAGACTTCTCAACAGCTTCTACCCCCAAGCCATAAGACTCCTGAACAGCTAATCATGGCTACCCAAACTATTTGCACTGCCCCCCCACCCCCACCCCATCTTTTTACGCTGCTGCTACTCTGTTAATTATTTATGCATAGTCACTTTAACTCTACCAAAATGTACATATTACTTCAACTACCTCAACTAGCCGGTGCCCCCGCACATTGACTCTGCACAGGTACCCCCCCTGTATATATAGCCTCCCTACTGTTATTTTATTTTACTTCTGCTCTTTTCTCAACACTTTTTAGTTGTTGTTTTATTTTACATTTTTATTAAAAGATAAATGCACTGTTGGTTAAGGGCTGTAAGTAAGCATTTCACTGTAATGTCTGCACCTATTGTATTCGGCACATGTGGACAATAACATTGGATTTGATTTGATTTGTTCTGAAACTTTTGACCGGTAGTGTATATATACATAGAATCTAAGTATCTGCTGTTCATAATGTTATATTCATATTTATTTTGATGTGTTTTTCTTGTCTTTTGTTAACAATATATTTAACTCTGACTTAATTAAACTGCTCAAAACTGATAACTACTGATCCAAAATTGTATAGTGCCTAGTTTACGTATATAGTTTGAGAATACTGTAAACTTCTATATATTTTACATCATGAATGTATCAACTGACATCAATTTACTTTGTAAGGTAAAAAAACGGTAACACTTGACACCCAGCGTCATAACACGTTATGACAAGTCATAACCATGTCACAATACTGTATGTCATAACAGCTGACATAATGTGTCATAACCTGTGATAATATGGTCATAACACTTTCATGACCCATATATTTACATCTGTTTTGACATATATTGCGTTATTTCATGGCTTGTTATGACACCTACATAAGAGTGTAAAAACCCACATTTACTCATATGTGTTTTTTCCCTGCCAAGAAGTTTCCTTACGTTTGAAAAGTTTGTTTCTTAAAATCCTTTGTTGTTGTTGTCATGTTTTTTTTCTATCATATTTTAAATAACTTGTAGAAAATACACTTTGACACTGTCATGAAGCATTATGACCATTCTGTGTCACTTTAATTGGACTAAGTAAATGCACTTTATCTCACTGTCCAGAAGCATCATGACATCATAATCATATAAGCCAGATAAGCCTATCACTACATGTCATTGTCAGTCATCAGTCAAAAAGAGGGTGTCTTGTCCTGCTCCTGAAATCTGCTCCTGCATTCATCCCAGTCATCAGCAACAGAGCATTGGGGTTGGTGCATGTCTGACATCAATGTGTGAGCAATTACAATGATAATTTAATATGGTAAGAAAATGTTATATAATATAAACATACTATTGACAAGTAGGATATGGTGTAATGGAATGTTTTGCCTTGTGTGGTGGGTTTGAAACTTACAGTATGTCGGTGTCATAACCAGCCATAAAATAAAAGTCTCACCTTTCCATAGAGGGGTCATATTAGTGTGTAGGCCAAACTGTTCGGACGCTACAAACAGAATTTGGCAGATCGGCGGTACCGATTTCAGAAGAGTCCCATGGTGCTTCTGTGGGTCGTACAGCGAAGAACACCATCGTGTTCGGGAGGCTTTCATCTTTCCATAAAGGGGTCATAGTAGTTTGTAGGCCAAACCTTTCTGACACCACAGACATTTTCATGAGAGGACCAATTTTCAGCATGTCTAATGGTCTGACAAACCGTTGTCGCTCTGATATCATTTTATGGGGATTTTGCTATTATGCTAAGTAGATTTCCACGGTGTGTGGACATTGTAGACTGCTGTAATGAGTCTAAATACAACATCTGGAATGAATCTGACGTATGGTTCATAAGCTAAAAGGCAGCGGCACTGAGGAGGGCGCGTGTCTTGACGGTTCCTGTCCGACTTCGCTTTTTTATGGCAATTTTTGTGTTCATTATTACTTTGTTTGCTCAGAATGTTTGTGCAAAAATGTCCTACAACTGACAAATACTTCTGGAACATGAATCGTAAACTACACACTTATCTCGCAGCCTCCCAGATCTGAAATACTACATTCACTCCTTTGTTCCCCACACAGTTGGTTATTTGTTGCTCCTGGCCTAGATTGACCTAAGGCAAAGCCTGCGACGAAGAAGAGGAAGGAAAGGGGGACTCCAAGCTAGGCTGAAAAGACAGGCTACACAGCCTCCTCTTCCTAGTATCCTGATGGCTAATGTCCAATAGCTGGAAAATATACTTTGTGAACTTGTGAGCTTCCATCGCAGAAGGACATCAGCAAATGCTATGTCTTTGTTTTTACATAGACTTGGCTTATGGAAAATACACTTGACTCTGCTATTCAACCAGACGGCTTCTCCATATTTCAAATTGATCAAAAGGCGGCTTCTGTTTCATCATAAAAACATTGTGGAGTACTAAAGTTGAATAAATTGAGAGCCTCTGTTCACCTGACCTAGAGATTCTGATGCCAAAATGCCGACCCCACTATATGCCGAGGGAATTCACCTGTGTTATTATCACAGTTGTGCACATATTGCCACAAGCAAACACCAAGGTGGCACTCAGCGAACTGTACAATATCATTAGCCAGCAAGAATCCTCTCACCCGGAAGCAGTCTTTATTGTCGTGGGTGACTTTAACCAAGCCCTCTAAAACACATTTTCCCAAAATGTCACCAACATGTATCCATCCCCACAAGAGGATCCGCCGTGCTTGACCATGAATACACAAACATCTGCGATGTGTACTAAGCTATCCCCCGCCCCACTTCGGCCAATCAGATCACGTGTCTGTTCCTACTTCCCACCTACAAGCAGAAACTCAAGAGGAAGCCACCAACACAGAGAATAGTGAGGCGCTGGACTGAGGAAGTAGACTCAATGCTGCAGCATTGTTTTGAGAATAGTGATTGGAATATGTTCAAAGATTCATCCATCCAGGACTCATCCATCAACATTGAAGAATATGCATCATCAGTCAAAGGCATCATTAGGAAATATGTTGATGACGTTGTACCCACAATAACAATCCGGACATACCCATACCAAAACCCCTGGATGAACGGAGATACCCATACAATGCTGAGAGCCGGTACTGCATTCAATATCAGCAGAACAAACCCCGATGCGTACAAGGCATGCAGGTATGACCTCCACAAAACCATTAGGGATGCAAAAAGATAATACAGACTCAAACGTCAATTGATGTTCGACAACTCAGACTCACGTTGCATGTTGCAAGGACCACAGATTATCACAAACTACAAAGGATAATCCAGTTGTGCGGTGCCCACCGAAATCTCCCTCCCAGATTAACTTTTTATGCTCGCTTCGAGGCAGACAATACCAAGCCATCCAGGAAGACTCTTGCTGCTCCAGACGACCAGGTGCATTCGCTCTCCAAGGCTGATGTGAGGAAAACTCTCAAAAGAGTGAATACTCACAAAGCTGCCAGCCCAGATGGCATCCCTGGCCGTGTCCTCAGAGTGTGTGCTGACCAGCTGGTGGGCATCTTCTCGGACATCTTCAACCTGTCCCAGGCTGCAGTCCCCACCAGCTGGTCATCTTTAAGGAGACCACCATCTTCCCAGTACCCAGGAAAAACAAGGTGACACGCCCAAATGACTATTGCCCCGTCGCACTCACTTCGGTCATCATGAAGTGCTTCGAGAGGCTGGTCATGGCCCACATCAAGGCCAGCATGCCAGGAACACTGAACCCAGTCCAATTTGCCTACCTCTCCAACAGATCCACGGAAGATGCCATTTCCATCATTATTAACAAGGCCGTAACACAACTGGACAAGAGGAACACAGTTATGTGAGAATGCTGTTCATTGACTACAGTTCAGCATTTAATACTATTGTTACCTCCAAGCTCGACACCAAGCTCAGAGCCCTGGGTCTGGACACTACCCTCTGCAATTGGATCCTTGACTTCCTGACGGCCATACCACAGGCTGTGAGGATTGGCAACAACGCCTCCTCCACACTGACTCTTAACACAGGTGCCCCCCAGGCGTGTATCCTCAGTCCTCTACTGTACTCCCTGTTCAACAACGAATGTGTTGCTTTGCACAACACCAACTTCATCATCAAGTTTGCTGACGACACCAAGGTTGTAGGCCTGATAACCAACAATGACGAGTCAGCCTATAGGAAGGAGGTAAGTGAACTGGCATTGTGGTGTCATGACAACAACCTCTCCCTCAACGTCAGCAAAACAAAGGAATTGATTGTTGACTTTAGGAAGTAGAGGAGGGAACATGCCCTTATCCACATCAATGGCACTGCAGTAGAGAGAGTCAAGAGTTTTAAGTTCCTCAGCGTCCACATCACCGAGGACTTGCCGCTGCACCATCTAGAGCGTCCTAACCAGTTGCATCATGTCCTCGTACATTAATTGCTTCGTCCACGACCGCAAGGCCCTCCAGCAGGTGGTGAAGACCAACCAGTTCATTACTGGAACCGTGCTTCCACCCATCCAGGACATTTACTTGAAAAGGTGCCTGAGGAAGGGACGGGCAATTAGGCCTGGCTTGCAGTCGGCATTCCAATTCATCCCAAAGTTGTTCGATGGGGTTGAGGTCAGGGTTCTGTATGGACCTTGCTTTGTGCAGGGGGCATTGTCATGCTGAATTTTCCATGTGGTCTATATTAAAGGGCACTTCATTTAAGACAGGCTTCTAAAATGCAATTATGGTGCACAATTTCTACTAACAATATCAAAGGGACGCAAAAGGCACTCTTTTCATGGAATGACCCATAAATTAGGCTACAATATTATAACATATTTGTTAGCTGAATAACATTTGTGAAAATAGTCTAGACTTAATTTTCCCTATCCTTATTATCATGAAATAGCCAAAAGATTTCATGAGTCATGTCACTCTACAGAGTATTGCAAGAAATTAGCTTGAAAGCAATTTATTTTTGCCTAACATGTAAGATCGTATTTTATAACTTAGCTAGTCATATTGGCCATAGAATAAGCTTTCAACTGATGCCCAACTGACCCAGATTGTGATTTGTAATGGTCCTGTTTTGGGGTTGCTTAAATAACAACAGTACTTGTGTGATGTCTGTGTTCCAAACAAAAAACTACAAGTGTGCTTGCTTTAGTTCCTCAACGGCACAGCTAGGAGAGCTCAAACAAGAACCTAATAGTTGAAGGCTCTTCCTTGAGTCATAAAAGTTTATTGAAATGACTTAGGGACTGTGCACACATATGAGAGGTGTGTGGACACTAGGAGACACAAGTTATACCTCACACTCTAACCCTTAAATTTTTTTGCACTTATGTTGCACTTACTTCAGATTATGCATTAATATTCTTAACATGTTACTGATTTCGTTATTAACAAATACTGCGAAAAGTACAGTAAATTTAAAATTCACAGAGTCAAAAGTGTGAAGTTTGGATTCAGGCTTGTGTCTGGTGATCTGTTGTGTCCTCAACTTTGTTCTTATAATTCCCAATGATCCCCAAAGCGTTCCCTTTCAGTTGCTACCATGGTTATGCATACAGGACGTCCTGTGGTGGACAACTTGTTTGATCTGTTGATGAATTATTGATAATAATCTGAACATTGCATTTTTTTTACATTAAGATATAACGGGGGCGCTCAAAAACAGCTTTTAAGACAAAGTCCATCTTTTGTCCCATTGTCCAGAACGCACATTAAATACATTTGCCAAGAAGGTGAATTTTGATGTGGAGAATCTGTTTAAGGGTAAAATTGACTCCAACCAAACACGACGTAACCTTTCTAAGACAGAGAGGGATGCAGTTGAATCATTGTCCAAAAATGGACGGATTGAGGTTAAAAAAGCAGACAAAGGTGGCGCTACAGTATTGTGGAGTAAAGACAAATATGTGACAGAAGCCTACCGTCAATTAGACAATGATGAATTCTACCAATCTCTTACCTTCAACCCTACAGAGGACCTAACAACTGAATTGAAAGGGATCCTCACAGAAGCTAAGGAGAATAGCTACATTTCAGACAATGAGTTCAAATGTATTTTCAATGGCAGTCCGCGTATGGCTTCTTTTTATATTTTTCCAAAAGTCCACAAGAATCTTGAAAACCCCCCAGGCAGACCTGTCATTAGTGGTAATGAAAGTCTGACAGAACCCTTCTCCAAGTACATTGATTACGTAATTAAGCCTTTTCTGCCGTCACTCCCAGCCTATCTTTGTCTTTCAGGAGCGTATTTTTAAACAAGTCAAAGGATGTGCCATGGGAGCTTGCTTTAGCCCTTCCTACGCTGGTTTGTACTTAGGTAAATGGGAAAATGACTTCATTTTGGATCCCTCTAAAAATCAGTTATTTGACCAGATTATATGGTGGGGGACACTATATTGATGATGTTCTGGCTCAGAAAATGAACTTATTTCCTTCCACCAATACCTTAACAGCATTAACCCTAACATCAAACTAACTATGAAGTACAGCAAGGATAACATTCATTTTTTGGTCCTTGACATCAGTAAAAATGACAAAGGTTGTTTGCACACATCAATCTTTAGGAAGCCTACAGATGGGAATCCTATTCTGAGGGCAGACAGCTTTCACCCCAAAAGGCTAAAAGAGAATATTCTATATGGCCAATTCCAAAGACTCCGCAGAATTTGAGATCAGGAAACAGACTACAGTGTCAAATCTGCTGAATTGGAGAATCGCTTCTTGAATTGGGGCTACAGGTCCAAAAAGATGCAGGTATAAGGGCCGGACGACTTGACAGCGAGAACTTGTTGCGAAGGGGAGCGCCTCGTGATGCATCAGAGAGAGTGTACTTTGTTACAAAATACAGCACTGAAGCAGAGAACATTAAAAGAATCATTAAAAATAATTGGGGAATCATCCAAAGTGATACGCTACTTCGCCAAGTCTTCCCAGAGCCACCAGTCATTAGCTTTAAGAGATGTTCTACCCTAAATGATAAATTAGTCCACAGCTATCTTCCAGGTGACTCTCAAAAAACGTGGCTATACCACAAACCCAGGGGCTCTTTTAAATGCAACCAGTGCAACCATTGCAGAAATATTGCACAGAAAATGTATTTTTTTCAAACAGCTTCTAAAATGGAGTATCAAGTCAAGCATTTCATTAACTGCAAAACCACTCATGTCATCTACAGATTGGAATGTCCACAGTGCAAGGTGTTCTACATTGGACGGACAAAGAGATGCCTTCAAGACCGCTTAGCGGAACACAAGTACACCATATGGGTAGGCAATGAAGACTCCCCCCATGGCAAGGCCCTACAAGTCCTTACACCATAGCAACCCTGCCTCCCTACATGCTATGGGTATTGATCATGTTACGGCCTCAATTAGACAACTAAACCAAAGGGAACGTTTTTGGATTTACAAACTACAGGCCACTAAGTACACTGGTCTAAATGAAGATATGGATTTCTCACCTTTCCTGTAGGTTCGTGAGAGGTCCCTTTGCTGTAATCTAGTGGACATTTTCCTCTAGTGGACGTTGTTTCTATTGAACATGCCATACAAATAAAGGCATTTTAATTAATTATATAATGAGTGCCTTGGTCCTCCTTTCTTTATGATGAAACAATGGAAACTATTGACATTGCCCTTACCTTTGTCTGTTTGAAGAAGGTTCTATATTTTTGTGGGAATCACAGCTGAGTCTGGAAAGGAACGCATAATTTCACATTAACATATACACTTCGGAGAATAAATTATTCTAATCTAAAATAAATTTGATCTGAAAGCACAGCCTTTGTATTGCATTAATTTGATGGTTGATAATCGTAGGTTGCTAAGTTATTACCTGTCTTGGTTCTTGTTATGTAATGGCTGACCCTGGATGATGTGTCCTTTTATAGACAAATTTGAGTTGAGCCACCCACATTCAAACCGGTTCAGGTTGATGTTTTTTTCCCTATCTAGTTAGTCTCTATGCAACATTCTGTGTGTAGTTTCCAAGGTGAACTGGACAGATTAGATTCCAGTGATGATTAAGATCTCATTGTTAACTCAAGTTGCATTTCACTGTAAATGAAAACAAGTTGGGGGGTGGGGGGGGGGGGCGGGGTTAAATGGTGCTTTGTTTATTTTTCCTGTAAATTGTGCAGCAGTATCACAGGAAATGCATGAAGGTATACATGTATTTCTAACAAAAATATGATAGTTCCCGACTGTATAGCTTACTGGACTCCTCCACAGCCATATCAAGGGTACAAAAGATGGTCCCCTGATCAATTTCTTATAATAATGTATTTTCTATGTTTTTTATGGACTCTTGGAAGATTATTCCCCATAGTGACAAATAATTATTCTGCCATGTTGACAACAATAATCAGAGTTGGATAAAACACACATACAGATTTTAGACCTGAGGGGTTTACAACAAAGCAGGATCTGTGGGTTAGCCAGCTAATATGCCTAAATATTTTTATGAATAATTTATGTTTTAGAAAGATAAGCATGAAATGGGCATGGTGTAATTAACTCAACAACCTTAAACGCATATCTAGGTTTAGATCTCTGAATGAACCAGAAAATCAATACTTATTTCTGGTGCTTAATCAAAGTTAGCTGGCTAATTTATTGTGTCAGATTACCACACTAGGGGAGAGATTTCTTAAGTTAACTTTCATTATTTGGTGGCAGATGTACATTTTTGTTTTCCAGGAAATGGTGTGACAGAAAGAACACTGCAGTACGTGCCAAGTTCGCATTCCAAACCCACCTCTCTGCCAGTTTACATTCCCAACCAACCTCTCTGCAGGTGCAGATACTTATCATCTTCCCATTCCTTCCACATAAGTGGAAACGTATAACTAACTGTTATTGTGACGTAATAGGAATGTAATTTAAGCAAAAAGGCACAAGAGGCTGTATCATGTCTACAGTCACAGGCAAATGGTGTTGTTCGGCCCGACGCGATAGTCAACCCATTTACCTGTGACTGTAACGCGATAGTCAACCCATTTACCTGTGACTGTAACGTGATAGTCAACCCATTTACCTGTGACTGTAACGCGATAGTCAACCCATTTACCTGTGACTGTAACGCGATAGTCAACCCATTTACCTGTGACTGTAACGCGATAGTCAACCCATTTACCTGTGACTGTATTCATGATACATGCCTTATTACTTTTATGAAACTGTTACCAACATATTCAAATAACAACGGATTAAGAGAGAGCTCTTACTCCACTGGCGCGTCGTGGAACATACCATCCACGTCACTCATTATGGTTCAGAGAACAAAAAACACTCAAACTGGACAGTTTTATCTCCATCTCTTCATTCAAAGACTCAATCATGGACACTCTTACTGACAGTTGTGGCTGCTTCGCATGATGTATTGTTGTCTCTACCTTCTTGCCCTTTGTGCTGTTGTCTGTGCCCAATAATGTTTGTACCATGTTTTGTGCTGCTACCATGTTGTGTTGCTACTGTTAAGTTGCGTCAATTCAAATCTAGTATAGGAACAAAAAGAGGTCAATACACGTCTTCTAAAATAGACTAGTATTTTAATTAATGCAAAACACTTCAATGGTAAATATGATGTTCGTATATACGGGTCCACTGAAACACCACGCAGGGCAGTCAGAGAACTGAGCCATTGTTATAAGTTCTTCTTTAAATACTCTGACAGAGATAGTTCCTGCTCCAAGCAGGCCTATCAGAGTAGAGGCTGGGCGTGGTTTAAACTTACCCAGCCTATCGTTGGTGCTCAGGCTGGTCCCAGTCCCTTGGCGCTTCACTGTTGCCAGGTGTTAGTTGTTTTGCAACTTGTCCAGAGAGTCAGCACTTTTGCAGTACACATGTCCTGGAGCGGTCTAAAAAAGAGGCTGTGTTTGTGTAAGTGAGTCACAAGCCTTATCTCACCCTACCCCCTAACAGTTCCTCACAATAATCACAGCTTGTTAGGTTAAACAATCTATATCAGTACAGTACAAACCTATTATTTTTAATCATTAATGCTTTCTTATTAAGCTAACAGCACATCTAAAATATAAGATAATAATTTCCCACACTACCATGTTGTTGTCATGTGGTGTTGCTACCATGCTGTGTTGTCATGTGTTGCTGCCATGCTATGTTGTTATCTTAGGACTCTCTTTATGACTTGCCTAGTTAAATAAAGGTTAAATAAAACAATTACAAAATGAGTTAGCCACTAACTTCCCTAAATATAGACCATGCCCTTTGATACTGTGAACCATCAGATCCTCCTCTCCACCTTCTCCGAGCTGGGCATCTCCGGCGCGGCTCACTATTGGATTGCGTCCTACCTGACCGGTCGCTTCTACCAAGTGGCGTGGCGAGAAGCTGTCTCCGCACCACGTGCTCTCACCACTGGTGTCCCCCGGGGCTAAGTTCTAGGCCCTCTCCTATTCTCGCTATACACCAAGTCACTTGGCTCTGTCATATCCTCACATGGCCTCTCCTATCATTGCTATGCTGACGATACACAACTAATCTTCTCCTTTCCCCCTTCTGATAACCAGGTGGCGAATCGCATCTCTGCATGTCTGGCAGACATATCAGTATGGATGACGGATCACCACCTCAAGCTGAACCTTGGCAAGACGGAGCTGCTCTTCCTCCCGGGGAAGGACTGCCCGTTCCATGATCTCGCCATCACGGTTGACAACTCCGTTGTGTCCTCCTCCCAGAGTGCGAAGAGCCTTGGCATGACCCTGGACAACACCCTGTCGTTCTCTGATAACATCAAGGCGGTGACCCGATCCTGTAGGTTCATGCTCTACAACATTCGGAGAGTACGACCCTGCCTTACACAGGAAGCAGCACAGGTCCTAATCCAGGCACTTGTCATCTCCCGTCTTGATTACTGCAACTCGCTGTTGGCTGGGCTCCCTGCCTGTGCCATTAAACCCCTACAACTCATCCAGAATGCCGCAGCCCGCCTGGTGTTCAACCTTCCCAAGTTATCTCACGTCACCCCGCTCCTCCGCACACTCCACTGGCTTCCAGTTGAAGCTCGCATCTGTTACAAGACCATGGTGCTTGCCTATGGAGCTGTGAGGGGAACGGCACCTCCGTACCTTCAGGCTCTGATCAGTCCCTACACCCAAACGAGGGCATTGCGTTCATCCACCTCTGGCCTGCTGGCTCCCCTTCCTCTGCGGAAGCATAGTTCCCGCTCAGCCCAGTCAAAACTGTTCGCTGCTCTGGCACCCCAATGGTGGAACAAGCTCCCTCACGACGCCAGGACAGCGGAGTCACTCACCACCTTCCGGAGACATTTGAAACCCCACCTCTTTAAGGAATACCTGGGATAGGATAAAGTAATCCTTCTACCCCCCCCCTTACCCCAACCCCCCCCCCCCCTAAAAAACAAAAACAAAAACAAAAAAACATTGTAAAGTAGTTGTACTACTGGCTATAAGGTGAATGCACCAATTTGTAAGTCGCTCTGGATAAGAGCGTCTGCTAAATGACGTAAATGTAAATGTAAATTTCTCCAGCAGGTCCACTCTCCACCAGGGGTTGGTCTCCTATGTAGTGTGGGTGCAGGATCCTTGCTTATAGTTTGATTCTCTGTTCCCATCAATGGCAATGTGAGCCTTGCCATCCCCATACAGTGATGACTGGGTGGCCACTCCTTTCAAAGCTACATTTACAACAGTGACATAGAGAATAATGTTTTAATACAGAAATGACAAGTTATTCTTTACCATCTTACAGTGTAGGCATTTGACATGTTTACAAGATGGGGGATAGTAGTGGTAGTAGGAGGAGTGGAGGGGAGAGGGGTTTATGGGTCTGAAATAAGAGGTTAAGAGTTCACAGAGTGAGAATCTTGTTCTGTCCAGGGATTACCACAACAACATAGCGACCCTCCATCCCATTACACTGGAAGGTGTTGGTCTCTCCTGCTGGGATGTGGGATATGACGAGAGAGAGAGATAGAGAGTGAGAGAGAGAGAGAGAGAGAGAGAGAGAGAGAGAGAGAGAGAGAGAGAGAGAGAGAGAGAGAGATAGAGAGAGAGAGATCTGAGTAAAGAGAGAGAGAGAGCATCTGAGTAGAAGAGAGAGACGCATCTGAGTAAAGAGAGTAGAGAGAGAGAGAGAGAGAGAGAGAGAGAGAGCGCATCTGGAGTAAAGAGAGAGAGAGACGCATCTGGAGTAAAGAAGAGAAGAGATAGAGAAGAGAGAGAGAGATAAGAGAGCAGATCTGGAGTAAAAGAGAGAGAGAGCGCATCTGGAGTAAAGAGAGAAGAGAGATGAGAGAGGAGAAGAGAGAGAGAGAGAGAGAGTCGCATCTGGAGTAAAAGAGATAGAGAGAGATGAGCATCTGGAGTAAAGATAGAAGAGAGAAGAGAGTATGAGAAGAGTAGAGAGAGAGAGAGAGCGCCATCTGGAGTAAAAGAAGTAAAGAAGAGAGAGAGAGAGAGAAGAGAGATAGAGAGAGAGAGAGAAAGATAGAGCATCTGATTAAAGAGAAGTAAGAGAAGAGAGCATCTGGAGTAAAGAGAAGTAAAGAGAGAGAGAGCATCTGGAGTAAAGAGAAGTAAAGAGAGAGAGAGAGCATCTGGAGTAAAGAGAAGTAAAGAGAGAGAGAGAGGTGATAGCGCATCTGGAGTAAAGAGAAGTAAAGAGAGAGAGAGGGTGGGGGACAGAGGTGTGGGGGGTCGGGGAGAGAGAGATACATGATATTGTACAGTGCGTGCGTTGCTGTAGTTAAAATGCTTCTTCACTAAAGTATGACTGAAAATATCAACACATTTAATGAATAACTGTTATTTTTATTGAATCCCATAAACTGTACAATTTAATCAGAATTACAGTACAATGTTATCTATTCTATTTCACTACTCACCTGAGGTTGTTGATGCCGTTGTTCTCCAGTGAGTTACCGATGTGGATCTCAGCACCATCAAGCCTCTCAGGAACATCGTCTCTGTTGGTGATGGTGACAGCTGTCACTCTGGTCACATCCAGCAGGTCCACTCTCCACCAGGGGTTGGTGTCCTGTTCAGTGTAGGTGCAGGATCCATAGTTTGTGTTTCTTTTTCCATCAATGGCATATTGAGCTTTGCGATCATAAAACTGTGATGACTGAGAAGCCACTCCTCTCAATGCCACTGTTTGAGTGACAGAGACAGATATAATACACATGTTAATTCATTATTATAAACTGGGTGGTTCAAGCCCTGAATGCTGATTGGCTGACAGCCGTAGTATATCAGACTGTATACCATGGGTATGACAAAACATATATTTTTATTGCTCTAATTAAGTTGGTAACCAGTTTATAATAGCAATAAGGCACCTTTGGGTTTGTATTATATGGCCAATATACCACGAGTAAGGGCTGTATTCATATATTGGCCATATACCACACCTCCTCTGGCCTTATTGCTTAAGTGCACCCTGTAGAATACATTTTGCACCATAAAACGTTTTGCAGGTTAGTCCTTCCCCATTTCGTCCATTTTGTTCCGTTTGGTTCCTAGTGAATACACCTTAGATATACACATCCCCACCCCCCTGTACATACACACACACACACACACACACACACACACACACACACACACACACACACACACACACACACACACACCTGCACCAACATGTATTAAATGTAATTAGTTACCTTTAATTGGGACATTAACTGAATGAAAGTTATTATTAGGCCTAGCTTCTGTTGCAGTGGTCAATGCTTGTAATAATAATAATAATATGCCATTTAGCAGTCGCTTTTATCCAAAACACCTTACAGTCATGTGCGCATACATTTTAACGTATGGGTGGTCCCGGGGATCGAACCCACTACCCTGGCATTACAAGCGCCATGCTCTACCAATTGAGCTACAGAGGACTCCTTGCATTGATTCGTTGATTTATTAATTAATTAACTTACTTATTAATTCATGTTTTTATTTATTATTTTTAAATGTATTGCTTCTTTCACAGTGGCCAATACTGATCCTTCATTCATTGATTAATTGATTTGGATTGTTTGTTTTGTCTGTCTCTCTTTTTTTTGGTGATTGCTTTTGTGTCTGTCCGTCTGTCTGTCTGCTTTATTAAAAATGCATTTACCTATTTGCCCGGTGACCCTCATTAAAAGTAGGACAATCCCTGTAAAGCCACAATAATAATATGAATGATTAGTCATAATTAATAATATTAATGTGAATGCACTTTAATAACATTATATGACACATTGTGTAACATGCTATAGGGTAATGCTGATCATTGGAGATCTCTGACTTTTAGCATTGTGGCGCCGGAGAAGATGGCTGCCGTTTTACTGTAACTAAAATAAATAAAATTTGATTTGATTTGATTTAGATGGATGGGTTAGGATCAATTCAATAAAAATGTCTGTCTATTCAGGAAGTACACTGAAATTCCAAGGGGGGTGTAATTGGAATTTGGTTTACTTTCTGAATTGACTTGAACTGAAATGGAATGGACCCTAACCCTTGTAAGTAGTTAGTTCTCACCAGAGACAGGGATGGCTCGCCGACTCCACTCCATGGATCTAAGTTGTAGCAACATTCATCGGTCAATATTAATGAATAACATAAAACATTTCCCTCTTTTAATGATCAGTTAATATGATCTATTTCTGGATTCCAACACCTGCAATGTGCTGTATAATGTGGATGTACTATTATTTTCCTTTTCAGCATTAGACGTTGCCTCACATACCACAACAATAACCTTTCACTACCACAATAATAATACGCTTTTATTCATGTGATAATAACCCATTTCTTGACTTATATATTATTATCATAATTTTTTTATAGTATTAGCCAAAGTTATGAACAATCAAACAGTATATCTAAACATAAATAAACATACCTGTGTTTGAGAGGGCTATCTTGTCCTCCGCTGAATCCCTCGTTCCACTCCTCTGTCTGTTTATGTGACTAAATATCAGTGCATTTACTCAGAATACATCTCACTTTAAATAATAATTATTAAATCTATTATTCAAAAGTACAAATAATGCATATTTCACTTTTGAGTGTTATTTTTTTAATTCAACCTCTACCTCAAACCTGCACTGTACCTTAGAGGTGACATACACTTAAAGACAAAACCAAACACAAAAACAGAAACTTCCATTATAATTTATAAAGTTATACATGCTTTCTCCCAGTGAGAAAGAATAACATCTATATAGACAGAAATTCAAAATAGATGCAATGAACTATTTGTATTATCAAGTCAACAGCGTTTTACTTTGAATGTTTCTTTAGAAGAAGAAAAAAGTGAAATTGATGCTCAGATATACTGTAGTATAAAAAGAGGGAATTTCTTTATTTCATACAGATTTAGACTAACTGTAAAAGATAGAACATTGTGTGAAAATTGACTGTTGGGAACCAAACATTGCAGGTTCAAAACATGTTCAGATTGTCAACATATGAAGTGTAAATCATAATTAATAAATGCTGTACAAATGTCCTATGATGAAGTTAAAATGCCTTGTGTCTCTATATCACCTACAATACAGTCCTCAAATGTTCATTTTAATCTGGAAACAATTATAAAAGTTATTTATTCTAATCTGCTTTAATTTGCATGCTGAGAATTTAAAATGCAAATACCACATTTTCTAAATATTCTTGAAATGTTCTGAGGACCTCCAAGACAAGGTAAAAGTGCCTTCAGAAAGTATTCACACCCCTTGACTGTTTCCACATTTTGATATGGTCCAGCCTGCGTTTAAAACGTATTAAATGGAGATTTGTGTCACTCACTACACACAATACCAAATAATGTCAATTATGTTTTCAGAAATGTTTGCAAATTAATTCAAAATAAGAAGCTGAAATATCTTGCGTCAATAAGTATTCAATCCCTTGAATTGATTCTAACATGTATTGGCTCAGGGGGTTGACTACTCATCTAATGAAAATACAGTGGCTTGCGAAAGTATTCACCCCCCACCCCTTGGCATTTTTCCTATTTTGTTGCCTTACAACCTGGAATTAAAATGGATTTTGGGGGGGGGTTGTATCATTTGATTTACATTTACATTTACATTTAAGTCATTTAGCAAACGCTCTTATCCAGAGCGACTTACAAATTGGTGCATTCAACTTAGGATAGCCAGTGGGACAACCACCACTGGGGGAGGGGGGGTGTAGAATGATTACTGTTAGACTATTCCAGGTATTCCTTAAAGAGGTGGGATTTCAAGTGTCTCCGGAAGGTGGTCAGTGACTCCGCTGTCCTGGCGTCTTGGGGGAGCTTGTTCCACCATTGGGGTGCCAGAGCAGCGAATAGCTTTGACTGGGCTGAGCGGGAACTGTGCTTCCGTAGAGGTAGGAGGGCTAGCAGGCCAGAGGTGGATGAACGTAGTGCCCTCGTATGGGTGTAGGGTCTGATCAGAGCCTGAAGGTAAGGTGCCGTTCCCCTCACAGCTCCGTAGGCAAGGACCATGGTTTTGTAGTAGATGCGAGCTTCAACTGGAAGCCAGTGGAGTGTGCGGAGGAGCGGGGTGACATGAGAGAACTTGGGAAGGTTGAACACCAGACGGGCTGCAGCGTTCTGGATAAGTTGTAGGAGTTTAATGGCACAGGCAGGGAGCCCAGCCAACAGCGAGTTGCAGTAATCCATACGGGAGATGACAAGTGCCTGGATTAGGACCTGTTACACAACATGCCTACCACTTTCAAGATGCAAAATTATTTTGCTTGTGAAACAAACAAGAAATAAGACCAAAAAACAGAAAACTTGAGCGTGCATAACTATTCACCCCCCCAAAGTCAATACTTTGTAGAGCCACCTTGTGCAGCAATTTCAGCTGCAAGTCTCTTGGGGTATGTCTTTATAAGCTTGGCATATCTAGCCACTGGGATTTTTGCCCATTCTTCAAGGCAAAACTGCTCCAGCTCCTTCAAGTTGGATGGGTTCCGCTGGTGTACAGCAGTCTTTAAGTCATACCACAGATTCTCAATTGGATTGAGGTCTGGGCTTTGACTAGGCCATTCCAAGACATTTAAATGTTTCCCCTTAAACCACTTGAGTGTTGCTTTAGCAGTATGCTTAGGGTCATTGTGTCACGAGAATTTCTATCTCAATGTTCAAACTGAACTCTTTTATTACTCAATCTGTATCCCAGAGGTTGTACATCTCTAGTTAAAATAAACAGACAGAGTTTCCCAGCTTACAATGATCAGTCCTTTATTCAGAGAGCGCTCTGCTCTCCAGTGCAGAGCGAATCTATTTATACACACACACAGAAATAAGTTCTCAGTCTGGGTTACACCTTGCTCAGAAAGTCTGTAACTTTCCACTACACCCATACATGGTTATTCTGTTTTACAATATATTGTAAGCCTCTCTCTTCCCCTCCCTGGGTGGAAACATCTGGTTTCAAAACCTATTTCCTGTTCTTTGGTTCGATGTCGCACCCTGCTGGCATAACTGCACAATAACACATTTCACACAGTACTACTTATGATTCTAACACATTTCACACAATACTACAGTTTTAAGGGTGGAATACTTTAGTCATAATCTTTAAACATTCAAATTCTTCTATCACATTGTCCTGCTGGAAGGTGAACCTCCATCCCAGTCTCAAATCTCTTGAAGACTGAAACAGGTTTCCCTCAAGAATTTCCCTGTATTTAGCACCATCCATCATTCCTTCAATTGACCAGTTTCCCAGTCCCTGCCGATGAAAAACATCCCCACAGCATGATGCTGCCACCACCATGCTTCACTGTGGGGATGGTGTTCTCTGGGTGATGAGAGGTGTTGGGTTTGCGCCAGACATAGCGTTTTCCTTGATGGCCAAAAAGCTCAATTTTAGTCTCATCTGACCAGAGTACCTTCTTCCATATGTTTGGGGAGTCTCCCACATGCCTTTTGGCGAACACCAAACGTGTTTGCTTATTTTTTTCTTTAAGCAATGGCTTTTTTCTGGCCACTCTTCCGTAAAGCCCAGCTCTGTTAAAGTGGTCCTGTGGACAGATACTCCAATCTCCGCTGTGGAGCATTGCAGCTCCTTCAGGGTTATCTTTGGTCTCTTTGTTGCCTCTCTGATTAATGCCCTCCTTGCCTGGTCCGTGAGTTTTGGTGGGCGGCCCTCTCTTGGCAGGTTTGTTGTGGTGCTATATTCTTTCCATTTTTTAATAATGGATTTAATGGTGCTCCGTGGGATGTTCAAAGTTTCAGATAATTTTGTATAACCCAACCCTGATCTGTACTTCTCCACAACTTTGTCCCTGACCTGTTTGGAGAGCTCCTTGGTCTTCATGGTGCCGCTTGCTTGGTGGTGCCCCTTGCTTAGTGGTGTTGCAGACTCTGGGCCCTTTCATAACAGGTGTATATGTACTGAGATCATGTGACAGATCATGTGACACTTAGATTGCACACAGGTGGACTTTATTTAACTAATTATGTGACATCTGAAGGTAATTGGTTGCACCAGATCTTATTTAGGGTCTTAAAAGCAAAGGGGGTGAATACTTATGCACGCACCACTTTTCGTTTTTTATTTTTTTGAATTCTTTGAAATACGTTTTTTTATTTATTTATTTATTTCACCAATTTGGACTATTTTGTGTATGTCCATTACATGAAATCCAAATAAAAATAAATTTAAATTACAGGTTGTAATGCAACAAAATAGGAAAAATGCCAAGGGGGCTGAATACTTTTACAAATGTTAGATTTCTTCTTCCACTTCAACATTACAGAGTATTCTGTGTAGATCCATTTGAATCCCATTTTGTAACACAACAAAATGTGGAAAAAGTCAAGGCGTGTGAATACTTTCTGAAGGCTGTATGTGTTCAAGAGAACGTTCCAGAGTAGAGAGACCCACAGTAGCATCTATAAAGGAGTACTGACAGTGTCTGCTGTGGCAGGTGGGAAAGTGTAAGTTCCCTGAAAAAGATCTAATCTCTCAATGTTCTAATATCTCCATGTTCTAATCTCTCAATGTTAAACAATTATTAGTAGGTTGATTGGTAAACTTAATGTGGCTCATTTCACGGTGTTTTCAGAGTCCCACAATATGAGCTACGACACTAATATGTTATAAAATTATTCACAGTTGTATTCTGTGGGTTTCACTGAGTGGACTGATACTCCATTTAATTGATCCACAATCCATAGGTTATACTGTAAAGTGAAATATAAGTATGTCCCAAATGCAATTCTGAAGTCTAATCCATCCACAGTGAGATTTGAAAAAGCGTAGAATCATATGGTGCAAAATGCATCATAGGGGGATGATTTCTGTATTTTGAAAGTTAAATATCTTGAAAACTTTAGTGCTGACAAGCAAAACATTTAGGGACAATGGACTAATGAAACAAATAGCAAAATAATGTAATTGATAACAAAAAATCTTTAAAAAGTTAACGTTTTTTCAAAATGTCATGCCCAATTGCTAAAGTAATTCAAGAACGACCCTATTGGAAACTCTTTGAATCTGTTGGAAACTTTATGAAACTCATGAAACTTATGAAACGTAATTAATACTTAATTGTAAATGTTCAGAAACCCTGAAGAAGGCCAAAATCTGAAACGTTGGTTCTATTTTTAACAATAATGAAGCTTTTTTATTCGTTTCCATCCTCCTCCAAGTTGCTGAATCTGCTCTTCACTTACATTTGTTTCTTACCTCCTAACCATATTTTAACTTATATATTATCATTCTTTTTTATAGTATTATCCAATATTATCAACAATCAAACACTATATTCAAATATAAAATAAACATACCTGTATTGAGAATGCTCTATTGCAGGGTTCTTCAATTCCGGTCCTGGAGGGCCGAAACACCTCTGTTTTTCATCCTCTCCTTCTAATCAGGGGCTAATTCAGACCTGGGACACCAGGTGAGTGCAATTAACTACCAGGTAGAAATAAAAAACAGAAGTGTTTCGGCCCTCCAGGACCGGAATTGAAGAACCCTGCTCTATTGTCTCCCGTTGAATCCCTCGCTCCCCTCCTCCGTCTCAGCGCGTGTGATGGATCTTCGTCTTCTCAATCTCTTTTTCTCTCTCTCTCTGTCTGGTCAACATGCAAACCTGGGTCATGTTCATTAGGGCACACAACATAATTTTTTTGCAACTTCTTCATGTTTGTTATTGGATAAGATCAGGTAGTCACTCACTCCCTACTTCAATCTGTTTTCTTCAGTTTGGTGCCTTATAAACACAACCCTGTATTAGCCAAACATGGTTAGCTTAAGGTGAGGTGTATTTGGTTAGCAGTGGGCCATAGCCCACCACCCTGTGTGTGTGTGTGTGTGTGTGTGTGTGTGTGTGTGTGTGTGTGTGTGTGTGTGTGTGTGTGTGTGTGGTGTTGTTTCCCGGGGGGATTTGGTTAGCAGTCATCCATAGAACCTCGTCCTCTCCCTGAGGTGTCAATAGTTACACAACTTCAACATTTTCTGTCCCTGTCTGTCTCATCATCACTGACTGTGTGAATCTGTTGGAAACTGTTTGAATCTGTTGGAAACTGTTTGAATCTGTTGGAAACTGTTTGAATCTGTTGGAAACTGTTTGAATCTGTTGGAAACTGTTTGAATCTGTTGGGTCATTCTTGAATTGTGGTAGTAAATACTGTCCCTTGACTTTGGCACCATGTAACATGACTAATAATACAATTCCTGTTTTATTTAACTGTTATTTAATAACAACATATATGTAAGTCCTTTATACTGCAAACCATCTATTTCTATGCATTGTGGAAACTGCTGGGGACTAGCAAAGCGGTTTGTCCCATTGGTGATGTGCAGAGATGTAGTGATATGTTTCTGGGATTTAGAGATATCTATTTATTATTTTGAATGCTAGAAAGTGAACAAAAGTATGTATTATATTGTATCGATAAAAAAACAACATAGAAGGCTATTAAAATGCCTATTTCTCCTCAGTTTTACTCATTGGTGTTACTGTCTTAAAAATCACTGATTACAAATATATATAAGTGGTAAATGGTAAAGTGGTTATCCCACTGGCTATAAGGTGAATGCACCAATTTGTAAGTCGCTCTGGATAAGAGCGTCTGCTAAATGACGTAAATGTAAAAATGTAAATGTAAGTACCTTGAGCATTCTCTCAAGTGGCAACTGTTATCGGGGGAGGGGTCTATATGAAAGTATACGCTCTTTTAGTCATGTCATACATTTGAGGATTCTATTGATAATTTGTTGTGTCTAAAGCCAGTGTCATTTGGTGTTAATCTAATTAATCGAAGGGAAATAACTTTGTGAGCAAAATTATTAATCATGTCACTTTGGTAAATAATTGTTTTAACATTGATGACATTGATGACTTCTTTACCTATAATGTCTCAATGGTGTTACCATCATTCATGTTACTTCTCCTACTGGTGGCACAATGTTATCAAAATGGTAAAAAAATATTTAATGTCATTAAGCTATGATTTTAGTTGATTTAGAATGGGGGGGGGGGGGGGGGGGGGGGGGATTTCTAAATGCCTAATTGCCACCGTAACTCAAGAATAAACCTTTTGGAAACTGTGAGTCTGTTAGAAACTGTGAATATGATGTAAACTGTGTGTTGGAAATTAACTACTTCATTGTATACAGTTGAAGTCGGAAGTTTATATGCACTTAGGTTGGAGTCATTAAAACTCGTTTTTCAACAACTCCACAAATGTCTTGTTAACAAACGATAGTTTTGGCAAGTCGGTTAGGACATCTACTTTGTGCATGACACAAGTAATTTTTCCAACAATTGTTTACAGACAGATTATTTCACTTACAATTCACTGTATCACAATTCCAGTGGGTCAGAAGTTTACATACACTAAGTTGACTGTGCCTTTAAACAGCTTGGAAAATTACAGAAAATGATGTCATGGCTTTAGAAGCTTCTGATAGGCTAATTGACATCATTTGAGTCAATTGGAGGTGTACCTGTGGATGTATTTCGAGGCCTACCTTCAAACTCAGTGCCTCTTTGCTTGACATCATGGGAAAATCAAAAGATATCAGCCAAGACCTCAGAAAAAACATTGTAGACCTCCACAAGTCTGGTTCATCCTTGGGAGCAATTTCCAAATGCCTGAAGGTACCATGTTCATCTGTACAAACAATAGTACACAAGTATAAACACCATGGAACCACGCAGCCGTCATACCGCTCAGGAAGAAGACGCGTTCTGTCTCCTAGAGTTGAACGTACTTTGGTGCGAAAAGTGCAAATCAATCCCAGAATAACAGCAAATGACCTTGTGAAGATGCTGGAGGAAACAGGTACAAAAGTATCTATATCTGTCACGATCGTCGTAATGAGCGGACCAAGGCGCAGCGTGATATGCGTACATATTTTAATAGTACTTAGCAACACGATAAAACAACAAAACAAAACGTGAAGTCCTCGGTCATAAAACACAAACCTAAACGGAACAAGATCCCACAATAAACTGTGCCAAACAGGCTGCCTAAGTATGGACCCCAATCAGAGACAACGAGCAACAGCTGCCTCTGATTGGGAACCACCCTGGCCAAACATAGATCTAAACGATCTAGAATAAACACATAGAACAACTAAACAAAGAAACTAACACCCTGGCTCAACATAAAAGAGTCCCCAGAGCCAGGGCGTGACAATATCCACAGTAAAACGAGTCCTATATCGGCTACCCAAAACTTTTGACCCAAGTTAAACAATTTAAAGGCAATGCTACCAAATACTAATTGAGTGTATGTAAACTTCTGACCCACTGGGAATGTGATGAAAGAAATAAAAGCTTAAATAAATCATTCTCTCTACTATTATTCTGACATTTCTCATTCTTAAAATAAAGTGGTGATCCTAACTGACCTAAGACAGCAACATTTTACTAGGATTAAAAGTCAGGAATTGTGAAAAACTGAGTTTAAATGTATTTGGCTAAGGTATATGTAAACTTCCGACTTCAACTATATGTCATGGAAAGAGCATATTGTATACTCAGTGTATGTCAACTATCCTTTCTTTCTTTCTTCTATAAATGAAATGTGTTGAAAATCCCCCAAATCATGTTGTTGTTTTTTGTCCTGGTTTCGTGAGGAATCACCCCAAAGCAGTATCATAATCTTGCTTTCCATTTCTCTCTCTTTCTTTCTCTTTGTCTTTCTCTCTCTCACTCTATCGCTCTCTATCCCCCAACCCCCAACCCTGCGCTCTCTCTCAATCGCCTCGCTTTCTCTCTCGCTCTTTCTCTCTCGCTCTCTCTCTCTCTCCCTCCCTCTTTCAGATGGGCTGGATTCCAGCAGGAGAGACTCACACCTTCCAGTGTAATGAGATGGAGGGTCGCTACGTCGTTGTGGTCATCCCTGGACAGGGAAAAACTCTCACTCTGTGTGAGGTGGAAGTATTAGGCACTGCTAAGCTTTCACTGACTTCGACAGAAAGTACTCCATTCAGAGTTTATTAATTAATTAATTCATTTATTTATTTATTTGTAATTAATGTTGTTTGTTCTTCTACATTTATGCATTTATGTATTCATTAGTTCATTTATTAATGTATTCATTCACGTATTCATTTAACGTGGTTTGTTCTTCGCAGGTCCCTGTTCTTCCTCCTCCTGTCTTCTAGAGTACAATTTTGTGACTAACAAACCCAGCTGGACTGAAGCACAGAGCTACTGCAGAGAGAGGTACACTGACCTGGCCACCGTAGACAACATGGAGGACATAGAGAGGGTCATAGAGTTAGTGGAAGATACCAAGGACCCTATCTGGATAGGACTCTATGATGATGGTAACAGCTGGAGGTGGTCTCTGGAAGAGTTCTATGGAGAGGGAGCGGCTGAGTTCTGGACAACATAACAACAACATGTCAACCCAACATTGTGTTTGCATCATTGATGATGGAGAAAGGAGAGATGAAGCATGATCTGATTAAATGTTCTTTGTTTGCTATGACGTTACGGTAAGACTTTCCTGTAGCCCTTATTTATACATTCATAAAGCCTTTATAACAGCTACATAAGACATTATAACATCAGTCATAGGCAGTCATAAATATTTAAAGTAACAGTAGCCACCACTAACAAATTAATTATATATTTTCTATGGTATTTTCAGGTAAGAATAACAGCCATGTTTTCATTTAGAGTAAGAAGAACTGGTCTGAAGCTCAGAGTTACTGCAGTGAGTCCCACACAGACCTGGCCAGTGTAAGGAACCAGACTGGAGATACAGAAGATGGTGTCTGAGGGTAGTACAGTGTGGATCGGCCTGTTCAGAGACTCCTGGTGGTCTTCACAACCCACTAATGATAACAACGATCAGCGCTGTGTTTACATTCAAGAGAGGAAATGGAATGATTGGAGATGCCCGGCCCGGCCAAACATTTTCAGACTAAATGTGTTTTTAGTCATTTGAATTGTATAATGTACAATTATTTAATGTTTAAAACAATGGCATTACTTCAAAGACTGTCCTTTTAAATAAATGTTTTGTCTACAGTCTGTCCTCATCTTGGTTCATTGTCTCCACAGCCATACAGTGTGACTCCGCCTCCTCATACAGTGAAAACACCAACAGATGTCAGCCAAAGTAAAGTAAATTACATACTCAACCTTTAAAGCAAAAAAACATGTCCACAATGTAGCATTGACATGATCAATAATAGTAATTAATTCATTTTTATTCACATTCTCTCCACAGTACAAGAGTGTGACTATGAAAACACAAGTCAGGCAAGGTAAACAAAACTACAGACTCCACCTTTAATGCCAAAAATGAGTCCAGAGTCCATTCACGTATTCCAAATGACCCATTCTATATTTTAATCCACACTGGTAGCATTGTCATGATCAAATTAGTCAACTGTGTATTGATACAGTACCAGTCAAAAGTTTGGACACACCTACTCATTCAAGTTTTTTTTTTTTTTTTTTTACTATTTTCTACATTGTAGAATAATAGTGAAGACATCAAAATTATGAAATAACACATATGGAATCACGTAGTAACCAAAAAAGTGTTAAACAAATCAAAATATATTTTATATTTGAGATTCTTCAAAGTAGCCACCCTTTGCCTTGATGACAGCTTTGCACACTCTTGTCATTCTCTCAACCAGCTTCATTATTACAACTGCAGTGGACCCAAGAGTTGAGCCATCATGCCAACTCCTTCACTCATGGTCAAGCCAAACATATTTGGCTTGACAGTGACAACAATGGAGTTGGCAAGAACACAAACAGATCTGGAACCAGGCTAACCAATATGTCCTCTTTATTACAACTGCAGTGGACCCAGAGTCCTGGGGAACCCCTCAGAGATGAGAACAATAACAGTCAGGATGATTATCATAAATTAGTCTGCTGAGCTCCAATGAGTGTTTTATCTTGTGTGGTGATGAGAGGAACAGTGTTTTATCTTGTGTGGTGATGAGAGGGACAGTGTTTTATCTTGTGTGGTGATGAGAGGGACAGTGTTTTATCTTGTGTGGTGATTAGAGGGACAGTGTTATTATCTTGTGTGGTGATGAGAGGAACAGTGTTTTATCTTGTGTGGTGATGAGAGGGACAGTGTTTTATCTTGTGTGGTGATGAGAGGAACCGTGTTTTATCTTGTGTGGTGATGAGAGGGACAGTGTTTTATCTTGTGTAGTGATGAGAGGAACAGTGTTTTATCTTGTGTGGTGATGAGAGGGACAGTGTTTTATCTTGTGTGGTGATGAGAGGGACAGTGTTTTATCTTGTGTGGTGATGAGAGGGACAGTGTTTTATCTTGTGTGGTGATTAGAGGGACAGTGTTATTATCTTGTGTGGTGATGAGAGGGACAGTGTTTTATCTTGTGTGGTGATTAGAGGGACAGTGTTTTATCTTGTGTGGTGATGAGAGGGACAGTGTTTTATCTTGTGTGGTGATGAGAGGGACAGTGTTTTATCTTGTGTGGTGATGAGAGGAATTGTGTTTTGTCAACCTGATCTGATGTGTCTTGTAGCCCCCAGGAGAAAGAGAGCTGTGGTGAGGATGAAGATCCACGGTTGTGCTGATATGACAGATCATACCGTCCATCAACAAGTCTTAGAACAGGTAATGGATAAAGAGAGAGAAAAAGTGTGTGTGCATGAGAGAGAAAGAGCGAGGGAGGGAGGGAGAGAGGGCGGGAGGAAGACCTAATCCATTCTTGTTATTTTCAGAGCTGCAAGCAGAGATGAGGAAACAGGGGTTGTCTGATTTCCAAATCCACTGGAGGAGTCTGGATGGACAGATCTTTCACCAGGAGGAAGAGGAGGGAATGGACAGATCTTTCACCAGGAGGAAGAGGAGGGAATTAACAGATCTTTCACCAGGAGGAAGAGGAGGGAATGGACAGATCGTTCACCAGGAGGAAGAGGAGGGAATGAACAGATTGTTCACCATGAGGAAGAGGGAATGGTCAGAAACAAAGGAAAAGGTAAATACCCAGCTGCCCAGTAATGCTGCTCTCTATTTTCTATAGGCAGTAATGTTTATCCTATCAGTGAACTTTCTCATTGTTCAGATGAATCAAGTGTGTTAGTGGCTGGGCAGGAACAAAAACCTGCACCACGCTGTAAGCTCTCCATGACCAGGTGTCATTAACCACGGCTGGTCAATATATTCAAGACCCCCAAAAAAGTTTGCTGTAGTTAATTGCATCATTGTTTATTATTATTATTATTATGACTGGTAATGTTTGTACTGATTTAAATACTTCTTGATATTTTCCAACAAAAACCTGCGCCACGCTGTATGCTCTCCATGACCAGGTGTCATTGACCACTGCTGTACACTATGCTCCATCTCTGAGTGTTGTTCCTGTGATTCAGCTGTAGGGGGCTGTGCGTTCATGTTTTAGTGTCTGTCATGTTTCATCACCAGGTGACTATGGAGCAGGAGGAGAGTGAGCCTCCTTGGAGGCCTGGTACAGAGCTCTGGACTGGGAATGTGACCCTGGACCAGAGCTCTGGACTGGGAATGTGACCATGGACCAGAGCTATAGAATTCTTACATTTACATATTAAAGACAAAAATGTTTGCAATTGTCGTGTATTAGGATTATGCCTTTGTTAAATGTTTTAAGTGGAACCAGAGAGGACGTTAATTTTAGTATCAAGAGGGAATGTTTTAGTGTAACGCCACATACAACAGACAGGAAGTGTGTTGTAGACAGGGGAGACTGGTGATTGGCCAGAAGAGGGAGCACCCCTCTTCTGCATTGTTTATAAGTAGGGGCTAAACGAAGAAGAAGTCAGAGCGGCCATTCTGAGGCGTCGCTCTCCGGATGTCATGACATCTGTCACTTATGCTGTAACCGTGTGATATTAATAAAAGCCTCTAAAACACGGTGCAGCCTAAGCGGACTCCTTGTTGACAGCAATATCCACGAACAACAGACACTACACAATGGGGGCTCGTCTGGGATTTCTGATTGCATCGTTCTTGGTGTCCTTTCTGAGTCGCGAGTTGACCACTGCCCAAGCCGGCTTTAAAGGTGAGATTACTCACAAAATTTGGGCATTGGTTATTCCGCTGATTCATGAGAGGGCATTGAAGGTGTACAGTTAAAAGTACTTGGGTCGTTGTTGATGTGCGCTGTTGTGGTCGACTGGGAGTCTGTTATAATATATTCCATTGGTAAACGGCAGGTAATTGGAATTTTAGAGCATAAAACGGTAGGAATTAAGTATTGAAGGTGTACAATTAAGGCAGATATGCGCATACATTAGAGCACTGTACCGCTTAAAGACCCCAGTGGGGCCATTTTAGATAATGGGCCGACAAATCCGCTTACACGATAGAATGTGCAAGACGGTGTGTTTTTTAAAGAAAAACACGGATCAATGAAATGTATCTGATTGTGATTATTGCTCGACTTTCGTCCGACGGGGGGTTTGCATGGGTGTGATTTCTCGGTGAATTGTCATTAAGTCCACGGTAGCACAAAATGGTAGGGAAATATGTTAAAAGGAATAAGGGCAGTGCAGGATGCTTATTTGTGTGGTAGGCCGCAGTTAGCTAAAGGCTAAGGCTAATGTTAATGCTAAATGCTGGAGTGTGGGTCATGCCACATTATACATAGCGGCTAATGCTAAAGGCTAATGCTAATTGTGTTGCGTGCTACATGCTAACGTGTCCTTAGAGGGCCATTGCGATGGATTAAAGCCTCTTAAACTTGTTTGTGTGTGGGTGGAATTCAGAGTTCTACGCAAATGTGAGCTCTGTTACGTGTAATTGTTTGAGTATAAGGTATAAAATAGTGAAGCTGTAGAGTAATGCTATCGTTCTATTGTCTGGGAATCGTATCATTGAATGCATTTGCGCATGCGTTTAATTTTGCGACACTACACTACAGAAAGGGGGAGTTTATGGCACGAGATTAGGACACGTTTTGTTTTACGGCACTAAACTACAACACGAGGGTATAGTAAAACTACAAAACGGCATTGTGGGTAACGTGTCATATTCTGTGGGGTTACACTGCAGGGGGAGACAGAGAGACACAGACGAGGGAACAAAGAGGAGAGATTTTAACACGAATCTTATAGTTTTAAAGCGGCTGCTGTTTGAACATGAAACTATTTGTTGAGATGTAGTGAATTTATACATTAAATATATGTTGACGAATTATAATAAATTAAATTAAATGACGGATTAAAATAAAATAAAAATGTTTTTGAGCGATCTATTTAGTTCTGAGTTTAGTCTTAGAGTGAATAATGGGTGAACGAAGGAATGTTGAATATGGTTGAGATAACTCAGTGATTGCAGTAACTACTAAAATCTTTTTCTGTGTCTCTGTTTTTGTCATATGAGAGGCGATAGGACGAGACGACAGGAGGGAGAGAGAGAAGGAGAGGGGGTGCGTGACGTAGCGTCACGTGACGCAACAGAGGATCAAGTCAAAAAGGGTTTGAGACTGGTCTGGTTACAAAATCTTCTTTGATGTTATGACAATTTCACATAGGCTTGGCAAACTGATTCATTAAAAATTGCATTTTGGAGGCTATGTGCATCACTTGGGTTAATTACAGATGTGTTGGGAATCAAGGACTGACATTATTCTGTAAAATTAAGATAAGGGTTTATGGGAATTGTAATGTTGAAGGGTTAGAGGCTTTGGTTTGGGATTGCTTTGAAGTTGACTAACCTACATTTGCATTTGATGGGTTGTGGTAAGATAGCCACCACTAATTGATAAATTGGTGACATAGGATATAGGAATAAAAATTGGTTTTAATTATTCATGATTTTTAATTGATTTATTAATAATTGAAGGGGGGAAGCCATAGGCTATATAGTCTAAAATAAAATAATTCACGATAAAGGAATATAAAAGGGTTGTTACAATGGGGAGAAAGGACAGCAAGGCTATAAAAGTCAGTA